CTCGCTGGGGGTCAGGTATTTCATGGTTAGCGGAGGGAGGTTCGCCTTTTTGATCAGGGAGGAGGTTTTCTTCTCTACGCTAGTGGTTGGATCGCGTTTTAGTTTTTTGTAGACTTGGGCGTCGGACAGTAAGGTGTTGACTTTGTTGTGGTAGTCTCTTTTGTCCATCACCACTGTTGCGTTGCCTTTGTCCGCCGGTAGGATGAGGATGTCAAGGATGAGGATGGCTGACCCCCCTCCCTCTGACTATGCCCCCCCCTTCCCCCCAAGAAGGAGTATAAAAGGACGAGCGCAACGCGAGGGAGCTCAGTATCAGAGTCTCCCAGCCCTGATGATGCAGACTGCAACGCCTGCGAAACGTCGGCACCACACTGCAAACGGACGCGGCAACCATCCGGAAGCCATGACTAAATGTTAAGTTTGTTGGAATTTGCGCGTCTTCTTCATAATAAAGAAGAATTAATAGATTTTTTTATTCATCATGACGTATTAACAAATACAATTAAGTGTAGTCGGTGCGGTAACGATATCAATATTAATAAAGGTACATTAATATATCGATGTAGAAGACGATATTACATAAAGAACGTACACAAGAGACGTGTTTCCAAGAAGTGCAACTTCTACAAAACTGCTAGAGTCGGTACTTGGTTCCACCAAAGCAATTTAGACATTGCTACTATCTGTAAGATAGTAGCATGTTTTCTGATGTTCCGGCATCCACGGCACGACGACACAGTGGATGAAACTGGCGTAGCATCGGCCACAATTGTAGATTGGTTCAGTTTTTGCTGAGAGGTAAATACAGGGTGGGCGTTTATCTTGAGACAACGAAAAATCTCGAGAACTTCGCATCAAATAAAAAAAAGCTCCGCATAAAAGTTTTTAGTCTCGGGGGGCGGGGCGTATTCAATGGTGCCTAACTCGACCCCCCACCCCCACCCCGAGGGGGTGGGGCGGGGGCAACTTTGAAATCTTAAATGAGAACCCCCATTTTTTATTGCAGATTCGGATTCTCCATAAAAAAATAAGTATTTCATTTGAAACATTTTTTCCGATTCGTGATAGATGGCGCTGTAATCGCAAAAATTCGATTTACCGTACTTTTTGGGAGATTAAACGAAAAAAAGGGGGCCCCTCTTATGGGGAGGTAATCTTAGTAAGAAAAATAATTTTGTGAACATGCATGTTGACTTTAATTACAAAACTACGTTCGGCATAACCCAGGAACAACGACGTGGACGTAGTAGTTTGCCGTTCCCTTCGGGGTGCTTGTTTTAGGTGAGTCCCCTCGCTTTTCACCATCGGGGTACTTGGTTTTGAAAAATTCACCAAAAGTGTTCGAAAATGCGCCCCTCTTCTTCGATGCATTTTTGTATCGGTGATTGGAATGATTGCGCGTGATCGCACCTGTTGTGGAAAACGCTAAGCATAAAGATTAACAGCAGCATCAATATTCCTGCCACTTTCTCCATAAAT